GGCGGGAAGGGCCGGGGGGCGGGCCAGCCGAGAGCCGCAGCGGGAGCGCCGCGCCGAGGCCGAGGCCGAGGCCGAGGCCGGTGCGGGTCTGGGCCTGGCGGCCCGCTGCGCGGCGGGGCAGGACTGGGCAGAGGCAAGGCCGAGAGAAAGGCTGCGAACGAGGCCCGCGGGCTCTGCCATTGGCTCTGCGTGGGGACAGGGCGGGCGCCGCCCCCGGCCGTGTGGGTGCCGCAGTGGGCTCTCCACTCCACAGCCCGCACTCCGCCCCCTCGCCCACTCCCCAGTGAAATTTATGGGTTCAGGGTTGGCCTTTAGGAATTAGGAATATTTATGCATCTTTGAGAGTGAGGTTTGGAAGGTAATAAATAAAGGGCCTTTGGGATGGGGTGTGGCTGGAGGCTCCTATTTTTAACATGGCCACTTTCCCAAAGCCCGCACTCCGCCAATTCCCTCTCATCTTGAGCGAGAGAAGGGAGCCCTGAGGGCCGTGGGCAGTGGGTTTCCCAAAGCAGGAAGGCGGTGGGGTCGACGCTCCTGCTCCTGGAGAGCCCTGCAGAGAGAGCTCTGCAGCAGAAAGGCCTGACGGCGGAGAGGGGAGGAACTTTCCAAACAGCCTGGCATCCTGGCAGCCCCGGAGTGCGGTCCGACGTCTCTGCAGAAGATACACCTCAAAGCTCAGTTGCCGAGATGCCCCTCTGCCCCCCAGACTCAGTTGCTGAGGAATAGGGAGAGGAGCCAGGAAATTCAGGCTTCTGGGGCCTGTCCCCAGCTCACAGGGAGAGGAAGGTCTGAAACCCCACCTTCCCACAGACCACAGCCTGGATCCTGGGTCCCTGGGAAAGGAGGCCAGGAATGTGGGGTTCAGGGCAACTCCTAGGAGTCCCAGTCCCCAACCTGGCCACCCCCAACTGCTGACTGAGAATTAAAAACAGTCGGTGGGTAGTACTTGACAGCCCTTGCTCTGGGCCTCCAGGAAATGAGGGAGAAAGAATCTGTGGATCCCACAGGAGCCTGCCTGTGACCCCTAGCCCTTAGAGGACTTGCTCTGAGAGGATAGGTAGTGCACAAAGATGGGGGCCGTGATGGAAGGGAGGCCTAAGGAGCAAACTGGGAGCCGGACAAGTCTCACGCCCGCGCCGTCGCCTCGGTCCACTGCGGCCTTAGCAAGGCCGGCGGCAGTGCACATGCGCACACACGCCAGCCTGCAGCCCCGTGGAAGGAGGGAGGGAGACAGGGTCCCGACTAGCCCTTTAAGAGCCACTTAGGGTCAGAAAGCCTGGACTACAGAGGGGGAAAGGAGCTGATGTCAGAAGACGGATGGGCAGCAAGATGGGGATTGATGCTAATGGGGGAGTTAAAGCTAAGTACCCAGACACTCAGAGGGCAAAACTGCAGATCTGTCTTCCTTAGGCTGCCCCTCCCCCTAAACCGGTTGTAAATCTGCCTCCTCGAGGCGGGGGAGGGGAGTGAGGAAAAAAGGACACTCTCTTCTCCGTTTCCTGCTACTTCCTAACCCAGAGCACCTCTCCCACCCCCTAATGCTTTTGTCCTCTCCCAGTCTCTTCCCAATCCCCTAAAATGTCCAACTTTAGGCTTTCCATCAGAAATGAAGAGAATGGATTCAGCTTGCAAAGGAGTTTAAGCAGAAACCTCAGGAAACTTTCCCTCACAGATCTCAGTGGAATGGGTTGGGGAGCTGTGGTAGGAGACTGGCAGGCAGGAAGCTCCCAGTTGCCTCAGTTTCTCTTCCTTCCGCCATCTTCTTACTGGAGGTAACCAGCGGCCCCCTCTCTAGGCAGTAGGGTGCAGGGAGGAAGCACGTGGGTGCTGGGTGCAGGGCTGGGAGCCTCGGAGTGGAGGGCCTGGGGGGGTCTCCAAGGGCAGCTAGGAAGCTGCGGGAGCTGTCGGCCCAGAGATATATGGCCTGGCTTCTCGGAAACTCCTGGATCACACTGTTCCTTCTCCTGGAGCACACACCCTGTCTGCTGAGTAGAGACAATTTCGGGCCAATAGTCTATTTACTGTAAAGGCAGGTCCACTGCTCCGTACACCTTTTGGGAGAGTTGGGATCTCAGGAGGAAGGCCTTCCCAGAGAGGCTAGAGCTTGAGCAATTGGCAAAATCAGTTTCTCCACTTTCAGGTGAGATTGTCCCCTGTCTTTCAGGGTTCCTAATCACCCTTACTTCCCTCCCTACTGGCATTCAGGGCCTGCCTTGAGATGTTCTCTGTGTTACAGGGACCCTCTGCATCATTATTGGACCTGAACCCTTCCTAGTCCTGCAAACAGCTGGTGCCCGAGTGCCTCTGCTTTCCAAATCCTCTTCAGTATCCGTAAGAGAAGACGAAGACATTCATCTCATCTCTTCCCTGTCCCCAGGTTTTCCTTTAGAAACTTGAAATCACCTTAGAGTTTTCCTCTGTTTTCTAAATCTTTAGGAACAAGAGAGAGAGCAAGGCTAGAGGGGGGAAGTTGGGGTTTGTGAGCAGGAGCCACTGAAACCAGGCTTCCAGCCTCCCGCATATGCATCCACACCCGGCTCACTGCTCCCTCCATCACTGGGAGGTCAGCCACTGCCCTCAGCCCTGGTCTCTGGCTGCTTCTCTGTACTGGTGATAAATCCTGTCTTTGTCTCCCTCCAACCCAGGCCCCAGGCGGGCTGGGGGTCAGAGGCTGGAGGAGGGGTCAGTGTGGAGGAGGGGGAGAAACAAGGAGAGTGGGAGGAAAAGATGGACGGGAGCAGCTGGTAGGCAGGCATGGGGGTGGGCAGTGAGGGGATGGGGCCTCTGCAGATCCTGGACATTCCAGCGGGTCTGCATTCCAAGTGAGAAAGCCAGGATTCCTGAGATGTGGAAATGCCATCAGGATGGCCCCTGGAGCATCAGTAATGCGGGAGCTGGGGCCTGGGGGCTGGGACGGGTGCAAGGAAAGAGGCTGCTGAAAGAAATGGGAGAATAACATTGTGAAAATCGGCCCTATCCCGGCAGGCCCTACACACGTTTGCCATGTGCACACATACCACATACACACACACACACACACATACACACACACGATTTATGGCTCATCAGCAGGAGGGAGCCCAGGAGAGCCAGCCTGCCCCTTGCCTGGCCCCTCTCCAGCGACCTCTCTTGTGACTTGGTCTCCATCTCTCCATTCTTTCTCTGCTCCCAGACTTGCGTCTTTGTGTGGTTTTCTCTCACTCTCCCAGTTTTTCATTCTGGCTTTTTGCTCATTCTTAGCCTCTGCCTCTTTGTCTTTCACTTTTTCTCTCCTTATGTTTCTCCTTCCATCTTCTTGTCCCCTTCTCCTGCCCTCCTCTACTTCCTTGGGCTCTCCATCTTTCTTGCCGCTGCCTCTCTTGAGCTCAGCCATCGTCCCTATCTCAGTCTCACCTTCTGGATCGCTCTCCTGGCCCAAGTGGGAACCTCTGGGAGGCAGATTGCAAGGAGGAATGGGAAGGAGAGGAGAGGTTCTCTTGAGTCCCTGATTTGGTGGAAGTCCAGGAAAAGCAGGTTATGATGATAATGGTATAGGGGATTGGCAACAGAAGGTGACTAGAGAGGTGAAATGGGAGGAAAGAGACTGAAAGGCAAACACCAAAGTGAGAAGGGTAAGGCATCAGTTTCCCTACAAGTGCATGTTTGGGGTCAGTCTAAAGGGGAGGAGACGGGGAGCATCTATTGAATTATAAGACACAGATCCAGAGACAAGATCTGCAGACCCAGCCAGAAAAACGAAGATGTGCTGTCCACCAGGCAGCCACATTCTGGACTCTTCCCCACGCAGGAAGTTCTTAGAGACCTTTCTTCTCTGCAGACAGTCTTGGAGTGCTGGTTCCCTGCCCCCTTCACCTCTTTCTCCCGTCACCTCCCCTCCTCCCCCAGTGAGAATGACATCAGCGCTGGCTGCCATGTACTGGGCCCTGTTGCTGATGTACTCTCCCATGGGTGAAACAGAGGCCAATCACCCCTGCCCACCCATCCACTCTGCAGTCTGGGAGCTGGGGCTTACACAGCCCAGCACTCCAGAGTGGGAGTAGGAGGCTGTACCAGGAAGGCAGCTGCAGGACATGGTGGGAACCAGGGGGTATGGGCACCAGGGGGAAGGAGGGGAGCTGGAGGGGGGCACTTGAGGAAGAGGCTGCTGCAGTAAATCACCCTGTGGGGGGGCTCCCTCTGCCTGAGCTCAGTGGGGTGGGGAAAGGATAGATATTTGGGGTGGGGGCTGGGGAGAGAATGGAGAATTGGCACATGTGGCAGGCAGGTGTCTGGCACTGCTCAGGCTGTAGTCACTTTCCCAGCCAAAGGGGAGGCAGGAGGGAGAGGGGAGGAGGGGCCTCCCTGATCCCCTGGGGGAAGAAACAGCTCACAAACAGAAACACCGAGAGGCCCACAATCAGAAAGAGGCCGAGGAGGGAGGGAGGGAGATAATCAGATCCTGCTCCCCAGTCTGCTTGGGTCAGTACAGGGATGGGTTTGCTCACAGTCCCAAAGAAAACTGCCGGCTGGCCAGAGCACTGGGTAGCCCAGGGCACCACAGTTCCATGTGTAGTAGAAAACAGAAGGCAGAAGTTCCCAAGTCGGACTGGGAAACAAGCTCGGAGAATTCCAAGTCTGAAAACTGCCTGGGTCAAAGCGGGGTGATAAGTAGGAAGATTAGGATGGTGAGGCTGGGTACTGCCTTTTCCAGTGCAGACAAGCAAAGACAAGAGCGCTATCCAGATCTCATCCACCCCCTGCACCCTAACTTTCACCGCAGGACTGCAGACAGCGGTGGCACAACCACGCAGAGTTGCTGAGCTACACTGGCAGGTTTTCACAGGACAGCAGGCAAGACTGGACAACCCTGGGTTTCATGTCCTGCTGCTGGAGATTCTTCATTCCTACCACCGTTTTCCCCTCATCCTCCCCTATCTGAGTTACTAATACAGTCTCTTGCTTAGTCCCGGAATTGCAGGCCCATTTTATGAGAAATAGAGGTGACTGAGAAGGAGACCCTTCGAACTGCATTGGGGAGGAGGGCTCCCCACACTCCCCCTCCTTAAAATCCTGCAGAGGAAGGGGGAAAGAAAACCAAAGCATTCTCCTGTCTCCGCGGCAACCATAAAACCCCCAGCTAAATCCATCTTGTGAGCTCACCGCCCCATTAAGATGCAGGGCCAGGCTCTGCGCCAGCCCAGCCACATTCATTTGTGCGAATAAAGGTGGAGGAGGGGGAGGGGAACAGGCTCTGGAGGGACGGGGAAATGGCGAGAAGAGGTTATTTACACCACCGTCCTGACCTTCTGGAGCAGCGCTGGCTCCGATAAATAACCCGCTCAGCGCCGTTTCAGAGCAGGAGTGGGAGGTGCAGGAAGGGAGCAGAGGCTGGAGGAGAGCCCCCACGCAGGTGCGCGTCTCCGGGTTACTAATGGCTGAGGCGGGAGCAGGCAGCTGGCTTTGGGGGTGGTGGGGAGCGTACTCAGTTCCCTGGGACTCCCACTGAGAAAATACCATCCCCACCCCACCCCTGGCGCCAATTTCCAGGCGAGGGGACGGAGAGATGCCAAGGAGGCAAACAGCCCCGTAAATTAGGGATGGTGGGGGGATTGCTGGGGAGTCTCTGAGGTAGGAAGAAAGAAATATTATAAGATGGGGAGTAAAGGGGGGGTCTGGAGGAATAGAAGTAGCTGCCAAAAAAAGAGAGGAAGAGGACAGAAACATCACACAAAGGCAGTTTGGAAAAAGAAATCTGTTTTATTCTTCTTTGCACAGAGCAGGTACACAAAGGTAGCTCTCTCCTGACTCCATGCATATGTCTTACACAAAGATGCCCCTTCAAATATGCCCAGTTACCCGCCCCACTTCAGTGCTGGAGAGTTGGCAGTTGGTGGGTAGGGCAGAATATTTAAATCTCAGGAAGGATTTTTAAGACATTTTTGTGGGAAGGAAGTTTTGGGTCAAGGGGAAAGATTAGACCCTAGAGTGGATTGTTCCATCCTCCATCTCCTGGGGAAATCCAAGTCCCAAAGGTTTCATGAAGAAGGCACCTCTCTCTGCACCCTAGGGAGGGGAGGAGCCCAGACCTACAGCTTGGATGGAAGGCTGAGGCGGAGCAAGGACTGGGAAGCCGCAGCTGCAGACCCAAGGCAGAGGAGTAAATGCATGTGGGAGAGACGAGATGCCCAAGACCCAAACTCCACTCTATTCCCAGTTCTGAGAACGGAACTCTTCTTCTCGGGACTGAGAATGGAGTTTTAATGCCAGCAATGGGCTTTACTCCAGGGTACAGAGAGGACAACCAGGCAAAGATCCCACAGGCAATAAAGGAGAGTTAAGGTAGCAGACCAAGATGGACACTCCCATAGTGGACAGTCATAGGCCACAGCAGTTTTGAAGCTATATGCTAGGATCAGGGTAGAGAATTAATTTTATAAGCCCAGCCAATAAAATTCAAATCACTGTTTCTTCTATTCTGTCCCCTCCCTATGAGCCGTTCCCAATCTTCCAGGGTGGAAGGAAGGACAGGGCAGTAAGAAGGAAAGGGAGTAAATGCTGAGGCCAGTTAAGTGGGACTGAGGCTGAGACTGGATCCATCCCTACAATCCCTACCCCACTCACTCTATAGAAAAGAATTCTCTCTCCTTCCCCTTGCTGGACATACGGGCTGTTGGGATGAAAGCTGGATAGAGGTAAAGGCAGGAAACACTCAGCACATTCTTTCCCCAGCCTTGATGTGAAGTGTAGCTACAGCAAAGGGCACAGAAGGTAAGGAGAAAACATGGCGGTAGGAGAGCATGGGAGCAAAATTTCAGTACAGAAAGGAAGAGGGTGCTTCCCCTGCCCTACAAAGCAATCAGAAGTGTGGAGGTGGGTTGGGGGGACAACCATAGACAGATGGAGATTTAAAGATCCCTTATGATCCCCAAGATGACCCTGAGAGCATCAATTATGGGACCAGGTGAGAAGTCACGAGAGACATGCAGAGTTTTGACAGGGTGAGGAGCCAGGAACAGTGAGGTCTTCACCGGAGGAGTGACCACTTGATCTGTTCTTTGGCTGACTGCAGCACCTGCAGAGACAAGGGCAGCATTGAGGGATTCTTGCTGAATCTGCAGGGTGGGGATGGGAGTCAGGGATCTCCTTCTCACTTCCCTATCCACAGGAATAGGGGACAAAAAATTCCCAAGAGGAGAGAGATGGGAAGAAGCTCTCTAAGTTCCTAGAGGATCATCAGTTTGGGAACTTCCAAAAAAATTCAAATTCACTGCGGGGATGAAGACAGAAGTATACCTGGGAGGAAAGAAAATAACTAAGGGTGAGGCTGGCCTGTGGCATAGTGATTAAGGTGCTGGTCTCCCACCTGGTGAACCATGGTTCAAGACCTGGATCTGGAGGCTTGCTTTTTCACATTCCCTCTCTGTCTCTGTCCCCTCTTTGTCTCTCTGGTCAAATTAAAAAATAATAATAAATAATTTTTTTTAAAAATAAAACTACTAGGGGTTATTGGACATATGGCACCACATCCAGATGAACATCTTAGTAAGAATTCCAAGTGGGGGGACCAGCAGGTGGCGTGGTGGTTGGGGGCGCTGGACTCCCACGTGGCCGATCACAGTTCAAGTCCCAGACCTGGCGGCTTGCTTTCTCATGCTCTCTCTCTCACGCTATCACTCTCTGGTCAAATTAAAATAAATAAATGGATAAATAAAGTTGGATGGAATAATTCTTTAAAAAAAAAAAAAAAAAAAAAAAAATTCCAAGTGGGTTAAAAAAAATCCCCCTCCCCCACCCTCCCCGAATCAGGTAGACAGTCTACCTGCAGTCAATGTAGCAGGATGGCTCTGTAAAACCTGTACACTCTGGAACATGCATCTCCAGCTTAGCCCTCATTTGAATAA